ATCTTTGATGCTTGTTCTTTAGATAAATATATGACTCGAATGTGTTTCCATTGACAGATATATTCTCATTGGTATTCTGCAGGACAGCAGAAATGGAAACTTTGGCCCTGTAATTGTAGTGTTGCTAAAAAATGCTGCTTGATCTCTTTCCATTCAGTTGATCAAGCAGGGGCTCTGTCAAAGCTCTGCTCTGTTTCAGTGTGAGCTGAGAGCATGACGGCACTTCTACCTTTTAATATCTCTCTGTGTAAAGAAAGCCACTCTGCTACAAGGACCTGCTTCATGTCTGTCTGTCCTTGTTTGTTTTCCATATGGAGATTTGTTTGATCCTCTGGGTTTCTGTTGAGTATGAGGGACACGAAGAGGTATCCCCTCTGACATGATGATTATCTGACTGTTAATATTAAGCCCACTCTGACAGGCAACACTATCACACATCACAGGCTGTCATTGGATTGGTCAGACCCATCTGGAACCCTTTGTGTTGAGTGCCAAGGGAGCCTGTCAGCGACTAGTTTAATTCAGGAGAGTTGTGAATGGCCCTGAGAATCATAGCTGCTTAGCAGTTTGTTAGTGCAGTCACCACTCACCTGCATTGCTCGGATGCTGGAAGCTTTAATGCCTTTATGATGTCACATTAATCATTCACTGGAAGCACAGAAGCCATGGAGGATAACACGCTCTCATCAGTCTTCGTTGAGCAAGACCACCTTATCAAAACTCCTTTCACCTGTCTGCACTTCACTCGCTGAATTTAGTTTTCTTTATTGCTCCTGCACAACGATCTGTTCTTTACTAGTGTTCCTCCTGACTGTTAAGAAGACATTATGTTATGTAGTAGCATAGATACTTACATTTATTTTCTTCTGATAAACTTATGTTACTGGGCTTAGTCATTTCTTCCCAAACTATCTGACTCAGGCCTGTGAGGAGATAAGAGGGTCCTTCAGCCTTGAACTCATGTTATAAAATATGTATTTGTAACCAATCATAAATGTAGTGTTTGAAATTCAAATGTTCCTTTGTTTGACTTTGTGGATGAGCACCATGACGCTCCTATCACTGAAGGTTACTGGCAGTGGAGATTAAGTAGTGTTTGATTGTAAAAAAAAAAAAAAAACATGTTTCAGTGCCTTGTAGACATTATGAAACAGAGACCTCTTTTACGGTGTGAAAGTGTTGGAGGAATTGTTCTCTAAATGATTTACTTGTCAGTGTGGCCAAGCATGCTTTCTAGAGTATTCCTTTGCTTGAAATATCATGCAATATAACTATCTGGCTTTGATATTTCTTGTGTTCAAGAGGATTTATTTTCTCTGACAGTAGGAGTAGAGGAACTGAGGAAAATTCAGATGGTCATTAAAACATAAGCAATTTAAAGAGTGGTTAAACAAGCTCTCTGTAACCTCCGTTACTTTGAAAACTCAAGTGGACCTCCGTAAGAGCGACCCTCTGAAAGCGAACAAATGAACAATGTTGCAGACTTAAGTTGTGCTTATTACTGACCATGCATTATAAACTGTCGAGCAACTAATGAATATGATCTCATCGTTGATGGGTGTTTGTGAAGTTTGTCTGCAGATGAGGGTCCTTTTGTAAATCTTTCGCCCTCTTCTGACCTACCCCCTTGTTTGGTAAGTGGTGCTTCATTAAAGCAGCACTGAATACCGGTGACTGTTGTATAGATAAGCACCAAGTGATGTTGGCCTTACAGTATGTTAACTTATTGATCTTAATTTATAATAATTAATGCACTTTAAAAATGATAATAATACAACTTGAATTTGATAGCCTTGTATGCATCCTTAATTACATACACAGTCACACATACTTATGACGGAGCTACGATGTTAAATCATAATGACAAATCATGTAGCTGTGCTGGTTGATAAGGATACCATATAAACATCCATATCTAAAAAAAGTAAAGCAAGCTGTATATGCCTCATGATGTCACTTGAAACACGCCCTGAATGCCGTCATGTTGTTCTGTTGACATGGCTAGCATGACTGTTAAACATTAAAAAAACACCATAGGTTGTAAATCGAATATTCAAAAGGTTTGAGCAGCATAAAAATCAGTGGAAACATGTTTGAAAGTAATTCACATAAACAGCTGATTAAAGCCTTTCAGTCCCTCACAGAAGTCAGAGTGAAGGCCTGGTTCACACACAGATAGCACAGCAAGAAGGGCTGCTGCAGCATATTTCACTTAATTTCATCATCAAAGCGTTTTCCCAGTGAGGGACCATCAGTGAATGAGAGCTGAGTGAATGAGGCCTCTCGATGCAGGACGCTTCGTATCACCAGCCGTCACATTTCACTACAGAAGCTCTTAGAACTATCGTCAGTCCGGACAGTAAAGAGGAACTGTTGTGCCAAAGAGAAACGGCACGAACTGAATTGATCCACTCAATGTTGTCTTGTTCAAGTTAACTAGTCATTGTCAGAGGAAATGCGGCACTCAATAATGCATGCCTATTTATAATAATTTAAAATTGCATTGCCCTTTTGGTACCTGCTCTCGTCTCAGCTGCAGAGATTAGAGCAGGGTGGGGCATCTTAACGTGTCTGGAGCTGATATGTTACCAATCAGTGGATCTAATTTCACATCTTGAGAGGAGTATCGGTCATTATCGTGACCCGAGTGAGATAACTTGACCTGTGCAGTGTGCTGGGTGTACTGGCCTCATGGAGGAGGGCTTTACTGGCTCTTTGAAGCGTCCTCAAACTGCACAGCAGCGATTTAGAGTGAAACATCAATAATTCAAGGACAGTTAATTCACCTTGAGATTGGTCTCCATGGAGCCTGGTGGCAGAGCCTGAGAAATGAAGTGTGCCGGCCTCTTCAGAGTGGGATGGCTTCATTTGACATTTTGCTTCATTAAATGCTGAGACTATGAAAGTTCTCCTGCACACACTGCTGCTTGTAAAGCATTTCCAGTTGGATGCTTTTGGTCTGTAAGTTTATATTAAGGTATTGATCTAATTTGATCATAAGGGTTGCCTGGGAGCATAAAAACGCGTATAATATGGGCCTGGGAAATGTGAGAAAGGTTAATGGAAGGACCCTATATCTCTGAAACACAACAAACCCCTCCTCCACCAGCAGATAAGCAAAAGGAAAATACACTTTATCTCTTAATCGGTCCCCTGGCATACCCGGTACTGTATTTTCAGCAATTTTCTGTCTTTGTAAATAATGCAAACCTTTGCTGCAGTAGTCAAAGGCTGCCTCCCATTTTGCGGTATGAAATCCAGTATTACTGCCAGTCAGATCAGCTGTCACAGCTTGATGAGGATCTTCAGCATGTCTGACCTTCTAATGAAGGCACTCCAGCTAAGGCCACAGCAGGACCCCCGTGTAATTTCCTTTTTTTACCTGGAAAGATGATAGGAGTGTCAGCAGCTGGAGTGGATAGCGCTGTCTTGCTTTGTGTTGTGTGGAACAGGGCCCGCCTTCTTTCCCACAGCTTCAGTGGATGCAGAGAGTTGCCAGAGATTGGATATAAAGAAATCTAATTTTGTTCCGCTAAAAGAAATCTGGAGCCACTCTGTCTCAATTTCTGATAGCAGCCATTGGGTTGGAAAGCTACTGAAGAGGTGAAGCGTGGAAAAACAGACACGCAGGGAACCTCTCTTGTGCTGCGATGTCTTGATCATCTGCTGGAGCGGGAATCAGCGGTAAACAACTACAGGCCTGCAGAGGTTTAAAGTGAATTCAGGCAAACAGGGATCAGAGGAGTTGTGTCCCAGCAGTTTTATTTCACATTGTACTAAAAACAAACTTAAGAGACACTGTTTTTGACATGTTTTTATTCAGTTGCTGTTGTGAAGCAAAAACAATGTGCTCATTAGAGACGTCAAACTGTCACTTAATGTCACAATTTGCGATGCGCTATAATGCTTTATAGTTATGTTATGATTCACAGATATTATAGGTTTTCACAATGACAAAAATAATTTACAAATACGTAACTAAAACCCTTTAAAATGTTTGAGATAGCATAGCCAATTATTTTTCATGCAGTGAAATATTTGAATCCCCGTTTTCCAAGTTCAGTATGTAACATAGGTGTAAGGGAAACTTCTGCAGCAATGGAGAGTCAGGACTCAGAGAGACACAAGGAGAGTTGGAGCTTTGATGTCAAACACTGGTAATTTATTACAAGTATCGGCCGGAGAATTCATATCACAAGTCACAGCAGCAAGAGGTTCTGACAGCACGGGTGCGTTGCCACATCAATTCTGACCAGCCCCTCTCTCGATAGAACTTTTAACTAGTTTACAGAGAGTTAATCAACAGCTGGGAACACTAGAGATATCCCCAACATCTGGAAATACTGAATCACTTGTCTGTGGTGCTTAGAAGCCAGCGTTCTCACAGTCATAAAACCCTCTGTGACCGATAGGCCAGGTCATAAAACTGGGAACAACACCATATGACTGCATTAGCACATTCCTTACGGGAGATAACAGGCTCAGGGTTGGTGATACACGTCAACAGGCAGAAAGGTTAAATATCTAGGAGTAAAGACAGAAATATTCCCTAACAATAGCTACAGCTATGTTAAAATGTCCTCTGAGCTGACATTACAAGTACTGTATTAAATATAAACCAATGAGCAGAGGTAACAAGGCCATTTATGCATTATCAGCCTCAAAGAGAAGTGTCACTTATTTAGGTGTCTGGTTTACTCAGCTGGATATACATACAGCATACAGGAGGTGATTCATCAAACCTGTGGAGTAAAAGTGAATCCCTGCTCCTCAGGTGTACTTCAACCCTCTTTTAAAAGATTAACAGACTAGCCAAAAATGGTTAATGCTGCTATCTTTTCTTCCATCAGTGAGTTATTCCGATAGTTGTGTGCCGTTAACTATATTCCATGTGGGTGTTACTGAATTCAACCCACAGTGCCTCTCGACAAAACGATCGAGAGGACCTTTAATATTTTCTGTGCTTTGTTGTTTTGAATGATCTCTATTTGTTTTCACAGTGGCATACCTGGGAAGAAATGTGGGACAATTATCTTGTCTGCGGAGGAGTTGGGAAACTGCAGAGTAAGTCTGAACAGTTTTAACACATGTTGTCTATTAGCTTACATTACATAATACATGTTTTGCATCCTCCACTGATCTAGTTTGAAGTGGGCCCTTTCAAAACGATACATTAAAGTGCAATCGCACAGATTCACTGGAGCTGTTTATGGCATGTCACTATGAAATTGAATGTGACACACTGTAGGGAAATGGTGTATGTTGTGTAAGTCACACAATGCATACAGCAGTGTTCATATACCTGCTGAGGTGGAGTGGCTTGTTTAATAGCCTTGACTTAATTTAGATATATGTGTGTTGCATAACTGCCTCATTACACCAGCAGGATACATCATGTCACTATGCAAAAGCGTTTGTCATTGGAAATTGTGTAGTGAAAATACTGTGAATTTGAATAGCTATTTAATGATCTTGCCTCTACCCCAATCACTTCTCCTCCGATGTGTGGCGTGTTAATCCATGAATCTGCCCTAATAAACTGTGTTCACTAATGCCCATTGGCTTTCTCTCTACACTGCTAAATGAAGATAGTAAATAATCACATTACACTGCTGCCAGTGCAGCAAAGTAGTAAGACTTATTGGCCGGAAAAACTGGCCTCACTGGGAGGCTATAAAGCAACTCATTGAGCTGCAACTGCTGTATGAATACTTTATGATATCATAACGCATGTAAGCATCTAACGTTTAAAGCTTTTGTAACTTCCAGCCCTAAAAGTTGAGCAAAAAAACATTTGGTTCCATGAACAAACAAAAAGCAGTCCCCAATTTGAGTTTGAAAAACAAGGCACTTTATTGCACATTCAGTATTTTCCCAACACTAATACAAACTGCCAAGATAACCCTTACTGTTCTGGTTCTTGCTGAATTTAAGCAAGCACATTCATTGAAGGGCTTCTATCAGGTGCAGTGGATCTGCAGTGAAAGAAGTTAGCATAATCACTGAGAAGCACCACTTGAAGAAGCAGTTTTCTAATATAAATGCAAATGATCATTACTGGTACAAATGACAATTTCCTTTTTTCCAGACTCAGAGAGACAAAGACTTGACATTTCACACCAGACCTGCCCTGTTTACACAAACTTTGAGCATACATGGAAATAACTCATGTTTGAGTCTGGGACAGGAAACTGAGAGAAAACACATATTATAGTTGAATAATCTGAAGGCCCTGCTGTCGGTACAAGTCCCACATCTGTGAATTCTAGCATTTAAAGAGTCCTACTATCCATCTGGATGGTGTTTATTCTATAATCCACCTGTGACCAATACATGGCAGCAGCTGAGTTGCTGCATCGCCTCAGGTAAACACTACAACTCTTTTTTGGGGAAACCAGCGGAGTGGGAACGACTGGGGAAGTTCTGCAGGGAGAGGCTCTCCCATTGGTCGGGGTTTTGCCAGGTATCATAAGACAGAGTAACAGCCTCTGCTTGGATCAAAGGCTTCTTCTTGGCTGTGGTAACTTCAGGACATGCTGAACAGCGGCTGGCTCTCTCTCAGATCATCCTCACAGTCCAGCAGCGGCTCTGGCTAATTTAAATCTGAGTAAACCAGACAGCACTTCACATATGAGAGGTTCTTTCTGTATTGAATACTGCATTATAACCATCCATTCATATAACCACCAAACATTGTAATTACTGTTGATGTTTTGGATTGTATGATTTGTTTCCCTCAAGCAAAACCTTAAAAATATGTATCACCACCGTCTTTTGATTGCTTTTTTTTGCGTATGTAAAGCCTTTCTTCACATTGACAAAAATGAGGCTTATGGTCATAGACACGTAGACAAACAACCAGATGAAAGGAGCAATGCATGAAGCATCAAAATATATATATTTTTAAATGATGATTCATACAAACCTTTGGCTCATATTTGGTATGCAGGGTTAAGTTGGGATTTGATATGTGGGGGGGCTCTGTGTGGAGGTGCGAGAGGGGGGCGGATACTATAGGACAGTAAACCAAAAATATAGTTTAAAACCTGAGAGATACAAAAATATGCATAAATAAATGTTAACTAGGTAAAATAAGATATGAATGAACAACAAAAATAAAATAAGTTACATTGATTTGTTATTGGCTATGGTAGTTTATTGGTTATGTTCACATACTTATGCAGACTCTGCTGCTCTGATCGGAGCAGAGAACCGTTCACTAGCGGTAAAAACGAATATCCTGTCACAAGAGATCTGGCTATTTTAAGTAAGTCAACAACATAGTGTATCGACCCTAAATAAAGTCTATATTAACAACGAGAGATGTTTTAACATATGGGCTTTAAACAAATGACACAAATGAGCGAGGGGGTGATGAACGTCAGAGGCATTCGTCCTATGTGCCGGGGCTGAGCCCCGGACAGCCCGCGGTTCAATTTAACCCCTGGATATAGCTCATCCGGCACTGAACCCGAATCACCACACACCAACAACCCGATATCACGGCAAGACGTGAACATGTGACGATTTTCCATGCTGGGAGACGTGAAGATGTCACGATTTCGTCCCTTCAAACGTAACAGTTACACGGTATTGTTAACCAATGTTAACCAGTGGAGAAATTCCCGGAAATGCCAAGCAAATGCTACCCCGACGGTCGGTTGTTATTGTCAATATTAATCTAATAATGATTTATTTTTTAATAGTCACATTCGATTACGCCGATTTTCTTGTTGCCCCAGCTGGTCGACACCTCTTTTAGCAGAAACAAAGGCTACATTAATGTATTCAATCGATGTTAGTCCATGCGTGTGGATGTGGAATTAACGGACGTGACGTTGTGCGATTGAGTTGCCAGGCAACAGCTTCGGTTCATGTTCATTTACAAACTCTTCAACTACAACCGTAGTTATATTTAAAAACATGTTAGAATGCCTCACGAAATACTTTAATGCAAATTAAAATGTAAATGTGAAGGAATGTGTGTATAACAAAATACATCGGTGATAAACGAAACCGGAAACTGATGGTTTAGCCGCAATGCATGCTGGGATTTGGTGTTTATGTGATGTGAAATCCGAAAACATTTTTTAAAAATAAAATAATACTTTATTCCGAGTGTGCTTGCTTTTCTCTTTGAAAGTCATCATATAACGGCATTGTAATACACGGTTTGGCTGCATTAAATATTACATATCTGCCGTAGTTCTCTATTTATAGNATTATAAGGCCTTAGATAACTGACCAGAGCAAACTTTAAATCCACAAAACAAGCCACAATAGGAACATGTCAAATTAAATGTTCTTGCAAAAAAAAACACTCCATTGATGAGCTTTATAAGATGCGGTTACGACCTGCACTAACAATGTTTCTAAAAGTATTTAAGTTCATGGGACACAAACTGCCCATTTAGATCTTCAGTGGTCTGGACCAGTAAGCTCATTGTACAAAAACCTATAAACAACGGCTTTAAATTTGTCTCTTATGTAAAAGTACATTCACAAAATGAACAATCCATTTACAAACAGCAGATGAACAGCCTGAGATGCCTTGCTGATCTCTCAGCTACAACTAAAAGCAGACCTCTTGTTGACAACAACTAATTTATCGTGTCTGTTCTCATATGTCCTTGCCAGTTATTTTATTGTTCACCATGATGTGTCTGCTGGTGGTGCTGAATATTATTACTTTAAGCACTGAAAGCTACTGTGAACACAACAAGGACACTTGCTTCCAATGTACCTCTGTGAAGAAATACGAACTGATCATTATTGGAAACCCTGACACTCTATTTCCCATTTTCTACTTTTTGACAAGGACATTTTCAGTGTCAGTGTTGTGTCATGTAGCCTAAGCATATGGGACGTATAATAGCATATCAGTAGGGCCTGCTACTCTAATTAGGACAGGGCTGCCCACAATGGGCACATAGGGATAGCATTGCATTTTATATGAAGTATTGGATTAATGGCTCCTTTTGCAAAGTTGTGCAGTTCTCAAGTGTGCTGGATTGGAACCATAATCTGGCCCGCAGGCCGTATGTTAGACATCCCCTTGGTTTATACATTTTCAACTGCAAAAAATGTAAACATTTCTCTCACCAACATATATTGTTAAATCCGTAGACTCATACAGTAGATATTAATAACAGTATAGGACAAAGGGAATACAAAACAATAGAATGAAAAATGATAGATATACTACACCCCCGCTTCACAATTTTAATCAGCGATTTTACTTTTCTTCTGTCTTCCACAATGCTGATTGGAAACAAAAACATTGTTTAGAAGCAATGGAATAATTAAATCAGCTCAATTTTCTAGAAAAGCATCCATTTAGTGGCATCCGTCTTTTTCTCAGCGGTTGCCTTAGAGGCTGCTCCTTCGTGGTGGGGGTTAGTGAGAGGCAGTTCAGAGGCAGATCGAGCCTCACTGATGTGGGTCAAAACAATCAATGGAGGGCTAGCCAAGCACCATGCTGATTCAGATCTAATAGCTGCACTTCAAAACCTAAAAGCTACAGAGACCAGTGGGAAAAAACAGCTCTTCTTCTGCCAGTGGAGGGCTCTGAATGTCTTCTGGTCTTCACATCTCTGGCTTAAAGATATGATGATTAGACTCTTGACTTGCATATGCCGTATGTTGAGCAGCTCAAAGAAAGTCTCAGATAAAATTATCTTGAGATAAAAGCTGTCAGTTCTGAAAAACACTGCAGAGTTCTTTTGATCTGGACATTTACCTATCCAGTTTGTGCTCACTGTGCCTCTCCATTATCAACACCGACTAATATCTTGACCACAGGCAGGCTATCTGGAACCGAGAGCATTATGGGGCTTGTTCATTGTCCTTTTAATGGCAGCGCTCATTGAAATGCTGCCTAAAATTAGTATTATTATGGTAATGTCAGCCTTTCTAATGTATCATTAGCAGCACTCACATACTCCACATCTCTTTTGTACACAACCCCTCCCCTCCTCCATTTGCTGGTTTTAGCATCCATTTCCTTCCCTCTGCTCTGTCTCTGATACTGTTACCATGATTATATGCAGCACACCAAGGTATTTTCCATTTGATAGCTCTTATCCCATCCACTGTTGTAATGCAGGAGTTGCATAATAAAGAAAATGTAATGAATACATTTCCAGATTTTTGGGAACAAGGGCCCACTGGCTTGTTTTGCCCTCTCTTATTATAATTCAGCACATTGCTTTTATTTGTTGCTCCAGAGCTTTTATATACTGGCATACAGCATGTATAAACAAACAGTATGAAAATAGAGGCAGAAGTAGGGCTGTGCAATTAATCGTATTTTAATCGCAATTACGATTTTGGCCTGCCACAATTACGAAAACAACATAATCGAAAAAAACTTATTTTGCTTTGCTAAGTTGTGACAGTGCACTGCAACATATTTGATCTAATTTATTTTTATTTATCATATTTATATATGTTTAGTAGCTTGTGGAAGTGCGGTTTGAAATATTTGTTGATCTTGTTTATTGGTATTTATTATTTTGATATTATTTATTTAAATGTATAATTTATTTTTGTATTGGTTTTTTTCAGTTGAATTATACGTTCAGGGCAATCAACATTTGAAAAGATACTGTTCAAATGATTATTTGTATTTTTTTTAAAGTTCAATAAATGGATGTTTTCAAAGTCAATGAATAATCGTATTTAATAATCGTGATATCAATTATTGACCAAAATAATCGTAATTATGATTTTTGCCATAATCGCACAGCCCTAGGCAGAAGCATGGATTTAAAATGTCCTTTACTTTTTTGTCCCTTCATTTCTCTTTTCTTTGTCTGCAGGATTACGCCACCATGCAATTCTGTGCCAACAAACTAGATAAGAAGGACTTCTTTGGAAAGTCAGACCCCTTCATGGTCTTCTACAGAAGTAATGAGGATGGAACGTGAGTTTGTCTCTTGCTTCTTCTTCTCAGCAGGTATTTCATTTAGCCTATCAAAGACAGGTAGGAGGGTGTGGGGATCAAAGAGGAAGTGATCCAAGGTCGAAAGAATTAAATTGAAATCCCTTGAACTCAGAGGCACTGAGATGAATTCATGCAGACATGGTTTCAAAGCAAAGCTGTATTTTTTCTTAGAGATTTGTCTTTTAGGATTTTAAATCCCTGTCGACATGCGTTTCCAGGTTCACCATCTGCCACAAGACTGAAGTGATGAAAAACACGCTGCACCCTGTGTGGCAGCCCTTCTCCATCCCTGTCAGAGCGCTCTGCAACGGAGACTATGAGAGGTGAGATAAAAGATGATGAACGATTAAGTGTTCTGCAGATGAAGTGTGATTTTCCACTGGAAATCAAAGCCAAGCAGATTTTCAATATGCGGTGTTGAATTGGTAGTGTCAAATTTAGACTCCATTGATTTTCTACTGTTATTTTATCTCGTGTAAAAGAGAAACATTACCGGACAGTTTTTATCTTGGCTGGCTGTTTATTGATTTGCCCACAACTGGCCTTTCAGAGCATTTAAGTTTCTGATTGGCGGCTCCAGGTGAAACTCCTATCTTATCTTGATCTCAGTTTTGGCAGAAAAGTCATAAAAGAATTGAGGAAAAAGTAAGTTGTGAAGGGAACGTGGCTGCACTCATCGCCCTTAAGGCGTTGACAGGTGTCTCAAAACACAGAAGAGTCCTGCTATGTGTTTGTTTGTGTGCGGGAGTGTGTTCGCACAAGCACAAAAGTGTGTAGACTCAGACAGCCATGGGAATGGGTACAAATTGTCAAAGAACATGTCAGGTATTGCCCTCTCCAACACGCTGGGTGTAAACCTACTGTAGGTTCTTCACTGCGATCCCGGCTCTGCTCACCTGGAGAAGCTAATTGGGTCAGACAGATGGAGTGGAAGCATGAAAGGAGCCTGATTCCCTTTGAGGATTTAATGGCAAGATGTAGGGGTCTGCCTGCAGTGCCTGTGAAATATCTACAGTTAGCTTTTTTTATGTGTTCCATTTTCAAGTCCTAGACAGCGAAAGCCACTGCTTGGTAATTTTTTTGATTCTCAGCTAATCGTTGGATAATGTTTAAAACATATTGGCTTTGTACAAATAGGGTTTGTCCTGGTTTATAATCCGACAGTGATTTTGAGGCTTTGTATTTCCTTTGACTCAGGTATTTGTCAAGTGCAGAGCTCTTTTATCTTTATACACTGAACAAAAATATAACACTTTTTTTTTTGCTCCCATTTTTCATGAGATGAACTCAAAGATCTAAAACATTTTCTACAAACACAAAATAACCATTTCAATAATCATGCTGTCTAATCAGCATCTTGATATGCCACACCTGTGAGGTGGGATGGATTATCTCGGCAAAGGAGAAGTGCTCACTATCACAGATTTTTTCAGATTTGTGAACAATATTTGAGAGAAATGGTTATTTTGTGTTTGTAGAAAATGTTTTAGATCTTTGAGTTCATCTCATGAAAAATGGGAGCAAAAAAAAAAGTGTTATATTTTTGTTCAGTGTA